TCATAGCTAAGTTACACATGACTTCACAAGTCACAAATTTGTGACATACTATCTGTGGTCACATGTCACAGGTTTGCTCAGTTCATATGTCGAATATTTGCTACACTGTTGTTGACCACAGGTCACAAGTCACAACTTTATATGAACGGGAACATTTCACAAGTTACAATTGCCATTTTAGTTCACTAGTCACAAGTTTGTAGAGGTCACAGATAATGGACCCCAGGTCACAACTTCATAACTTTAAGTCACTGGTCACCGACTTGTGACAATGTTATTTAACACACGTCACATGTAAATGACCGCAGGTTATAGGTCAATTACCACATGTCACAAGTCATGCATCTGGGACATTGGTTAATCAATGTATGGTTAGATGACTAATATGTTAGCCAATTATATCATGATTACAAATTGACGCAAGTTACATTACCCCATCTGAGTGTGAGATGGCAGCTCCATTTATGAGTGGTGTTCCATACAACAAACCAATCCAACCACACACACTAGGAGACATTTTCTCTCAAGATCCAGGCCATGAAGATACGAGTGCGGCTATCTCATATGTCCACCACGCGTTTGTTAATAATTACAGATGGACAAAAAGGTCATTCAAGTGATGTTGAATCTGACGACGATGACGATTTTATCGATACACCACCGAAAAGACAGAAGACATCAACGTATTTTCACCCACCAGTCAAAGAATACACAACATAGGAATATTGTCCGATAGAGTCAGAAAGGCCTGACATCAATACTCTAATAAAGCCGCAGGAAACACGTGCTGATGTTCACCACAACTAGATATAAGTTCATTTATTTATGTGTGTGAAAGATACAAGGCATGAATAATATGTCACATAGGTCACAGTCATTCTCATTGAAGGCATTTGCACTGAACCATTACAGGTGGTTGACCCGTTGAGAAAAGAGCTGAGTGGCCAAATCACCGAACTCCAGTGTAAGAATATCAATTTGACAGTGTAGCTTAACGATGTGAAGTCACAGTTATCATTCTTAAAGGGACACAGGAACATCAAGATTGATCAAATTATTTGTATGCAAGGTGATATTCGATCGGACATAGTTGAAATATGGTCAAGCATGATGTTTTTATCCGATTCTGTGACTGCATTGATATCAAGTACGATGGATGCAATATCAAGTATGGCCAGAGTGCTAGAGTTGCAGACCAGTGGGATAAGGTACATAATCTTGTAAGTGAAATTCTTTTATGCTTTCTGTACTTTACATTGCCAATTGATATTGTATTACATCAGTTACCAACATTGAACAAACAATTGACAAGAAAGGCAAATGCAAGATGGACCCCATTGATGACATCAAAGTAATTAATTCAACCATTGTCCACATGCATGATATGTTTAAATCCAAAGAAGTACAACAGTAGGTTGGTGTTGTTATAGTTGGTGTGCTGAACAAGACTGGTATTGAAGAGCAAGTTGGTGTGACAACGAAGACCATAATTGAGGAGCAGGCGGTATTTATAGATCCCTTGGCATACGTGTTTTCGCGTGGTCAAAAACATATGTCACCACTGACATGTTAACACGACATGTTTGGTACAGGTCACAGATATAATAGTCACATACGTGTTATTATCCAATATACTTGTGCACACGTTGTAGGTCACACAAATTTGTGTAGAGGTCACAATATTCTGATATTTTTACAACATTGTCTGCACAAATATATAATAACATTTTCTCCGAACAGATTCATTATTTTTCAACATGCAGGGTTCTCCTCCTTCCACACCGACATCGGGCCTGCCAGTTAAGAAAGTTCCTAGACCCATATGGATAATACGGTCTCCATATGTTACTGATGATGGAAAACAAAAATAAGTATTCTGATGGTGTCATCGTATTCGACAAGAATGACAAGCAATCGGATGAAGCTGATGTAGTTGCATTTCAAAACTGATTTAACAAAGGTTACAAACCAAGAAATAAGTATGTATCATCTTTGGGGTCTTGTGCTCGAAATTATTACTAATTCACTGGGGGTTTAAATTAGTATTTAACCGTTCTTTTTCCATTTCAGAAAGAAGTTTAACGATGCAGATGATATAATTAGATAGCCTTTTTTTACTCGGTTCGTTCTCGATGGGGTCAAAAACGTGGTGGCATGAACTTATTTATTCAGAATCTTCATTGACTGGCATGGTAAGATCCATAATTTAGCAGTCACAGTGCATATAATCATGTGTATACCTTATAAGTTACATGTCATAAGTCAACGTTGGTTACATCTCAGTTCACATGTCACAGATTTGTAACTACAATCTCTGGTCACATGTCACAGGTTTGCTGAGTTCATATGTCAAAGATTTGTGACATGGTTATTCACCACAGGTCACAAATTTGTGTGTGCTAGCACATTACACACGTCACAACTTTCATTTTTAGTTAGTTGTCATAGATTCATATAGGTCACAAGTTTTAATGCATATAATCATGAACTTATAAGATTTGTGGTGGCATGAAGTTATTTTGGTAGCATAAGTCATAGCTAAGTTACACATGACTTCACAAGTCACAAATTTGTGACATACTATCTGTGGTCACATGTCACAGGTTTGCTCAGTTCATATGTCGAATATTTGCTACACTGTTGTTGACCACAGGTCACAAGTCACAACTTTATATGAACGGGAACATTTCACAAGTTACAATTGCCATTTTAGTTCACTAGTCACAAGTTTGTAGAGGTCACAGATAATGGACCCCAGGTCACAACTTCATAACTTTAAGTCACTGGTCACCGACTTGTGACAATGTTATTTAACACACGTCACATGTAAATGACCGCAGGTTATAGGTCAATTACCACATGTCACAAGTCATGCATCTGGGACATTGGTTATTGAACATAGGTCACAGCTCATTGACCCCAGGTCACAATTTCACTGGACACACATTGTCGTTGACTATTCACAAATCATATCTATGTTACAAATGCATTTCTATGGTTCACATTTATATGCTAATTAACTGCCTTTCATATTTTACAGCATATGGACGTATGTTTTCATTACCTATGGCAGTTTGTGGTACGAAGTCAGGATGCGAAGTTGAGTGCTACAACAACTGACACCTTTTTTCAGGCTAAGATGAAAAGCAAATTTTCTCAGTTCCAAAAAGATCCAAATGTGATAATGCAGATTCATATACTGTAGAGGTTGCCACCGGTAGGTATTTAGAATTCAATTGTCCGTGGGCTGAAGCTAAATATGTGCTCATCCCATTTCTGCCCACAAATCGTACACACTCGATGTTCTGTTGCCTGGACATAAGAAACCATAAAATACACATATTCAATCCCAACTACAAAACCTATCGTGAATAAATGGCTCTTGCCGGGATTGACCCATTAGCCAGAATTATCCCATGTTTGTTGTCTAGTTTGGGCATCTGGAACCGAACTTCTGTTGATCCTAGTAAAGATCCAAGGGGTTGATAGTGTTGCTTGCTGATAACGTTTCACATCAATAGAATGGGGATGATTGTGACCTGTATTCATTTTGTGACGTCTTTTTTATTTCAAAATTTTTCGTTCAATATAGTGTCATCTCTGATGTGCTACCTTGTGACTTTGTTCTCAGTCATGATTGTGGCATCTTTGTTATTAAGTATGTAGAGTACATGCTACATAACGACATGAAGTCCATGCCGATGAATTTTGACACTAGCCGAGTTAGATTGGATATTGCTACTCGACTGTTTAAGCATAAGGATATCAAGAAGCCAACAAAGCTGCTACAATTGAAGGGAGAGAGCATTGTTGTAGAGTGATTGTAGAAAGTTAGTGTAGTGGCTAGAATACTTTAGGGTGGTTTATGTTACCACAATAGATGAGAATTTATTTTGTTCATGTGACCATAAATTTTTCAGAGTTTAAGAATATTTTTTGAAGTAGAAATTTTGTTCATGTGGCAAGAATACATTTCACAACTTATAAGATTTCCTTTTGTTCAATTGACTTGTGTCTTAGTACGAGTGTGGTGAATGTTTTAATAATACTTTGGACATCTCATATATTCATGTGCATAGGTCACGTATCATATCTTTACGTGCACAGGTCACAGGTCAAAAAACTGTCACAAACTGCTCACTTGAATGGATCGATCACAAGACACAGAGTTGGGTACACTTATCACAGGTCACTTGTCTGTGTGTGCAGGTGCGCATGTCACAGGTCACATACTCAGATGCGTTAGTTTACGTATTTGTGTGAACATGTCAAAGCCTTATGCTTACACTCCACACGTCATTTCGACATATCACATACATATGCGTAGAGGTCACAAGTGAAACCACAAACGCCTGTGCACATACTGTATTGGTAACATTTTATCTGGTTATAGATTGCTGACTTTTGTGGTCACATGTTGATAATATTTTTTTTCATCAATCACATATTTGTTTGAACATACCACAATTCACATGCCATAGTGTATTGTCATAGTTCACGTATGTGTGCACAAGTTACAAATTATACGCTCATACATACTGTTTCAAATATTTGGGTGCATAGGTCACAAATTAAAGTCTTATATCCACAAGTCGCATACATATGTGCATAGTTCACAAGTCAAGCAAATTAGGCATCTACACAGACATCATCATAGTTCACATATAGCGATGTTGTATGCACATTTCACTTGTCATAAGAACTCAATTACAACAATCCTTATCTGTTTCGCAATTTTTGTGGAAAATATACAAACACGAATGTTATGCTAGAAGTTCATATATATTTTTCGTTTATCACGGATCAATTACAAACTTTCATAACATTCTTTGTTAATTTCCAAAGGTAAGTCTAAGTTGTGAACCCGTGACAAGGTTTACCAGCTAATGAATCAAATAATGAGTACTACATTACTACCGTTAACATTTCACAAAATTCTTGATTTGTTTTGGCTTAATGGAAGCAAGTTGTTGGACATTCTGCAATTGTGACCACTTCATTTACAACGCCCACATTTCAGCAGGTCTTTCTGAACTTCTTTTTTGATGAGGTGCCAAGACAATTATGTCTTCAACTTCCCGGGACACAGTCCACTCATTTGGATTTTCAACTAGGTATGCCATATATTGGTATGCATTCATGCATGCCTCTCGTGAGTAAAAGTACGAACAATAATCGAATGGGTCTCCTTTAGTTGTTGCTATTACAACCAACGTATGTGGACATGACATCTGATCAACTTGAAGCATCCGACATATGGAAGTCCATTTCTCTATATCAATGACAAATGGTGATCTCTTGTCAGCAATCGAAAACATTATCTAGTTTGTTGGAGAAACCTGCTCACAAAGAACAGCACAATGTGAGGTCACATATCTTAAATACTGGTTTTTCATCAGGTTACATAAATATATGATCTCATGTAACAGATGTCGTCGTTACCCTTATGTTCCTCAAAGTCAAGCTCATTTCTTTCATCAATTTCTCATACTTAGTGAACAATTTTATGAAGGTGCCATTTACAGTGTCTCTATTCTTACAAAACCAAGAATGTATTGTTTGTCACAACGAATCCAACAAAGTTACGATAGGATAATTCTTCCTTGCTTTTGTGACTGCATTGACAGATTCCACTTTATTAGAGGTCATTATAGAATACCTATTTGTAGGCATGTGGAATTGTGATCACCTTTCTGATCAAACTATATCCTACAAAATCAAAACATTATTAGATTGGAAGGCATGCAACAATCGCGATAGTATGTACTGATAAAAAGTAAAATCTTGCCAGATAATCCCTAATTTTCTTATTCATTATGTCCAAACGTTGTATGTTGTACTCAAAATTCGATAAAGTGTATACACAAACAGTTGAATTGAACGCTTGTGTTATGTTGTGACCTGATTTACCAAAACAGGATTTCAAGTTTTGTAGTAGATGATACGAATAGATTCCATGGCTTGTCCCTGGATAAACCCATTCTATTGCGTTCTTTATACTGTTATGCTGATACGATATAAAACAAAGTCATTCCCTATTACCATAAGCACTCTTCAGGTTTTCTAAAAACCATGTTCAGGATCTATCTTTTCGTTATCTCCCGTTCCAAATGCAAGTAACAAAATGTTGTTGTTAGCATTCTGTGTACATGCTGTAAATAGAGTAACATCGTAGTGTCCATTCAAGTACGTGCTGTCAACAACAATTACGGGCCTACAGTGGACCCATCCTCGAATTGATGCACCAAGTGCCATGAAACAGCACCTGAATCTATTGTGACCATCAACATCCAATTCTGTAACCATTCCAGAATTTGTCTGTTCAAGCATATAAGTGTATCTTGGTAGTGCCTAAATGATTTTGTTGGATCCCCCTGATTAATCTCAAAGTTTTTTCCCTAGATCTCCATGCGTTAATGTAGTTCAACATAACCCCATACGTATGCAACATGTCGTTACATATATCATTCGGAGTGTATATAGTACACATTGATAGATACTTAAACTTGATGCAAAAGGACATGACAGACGTTCACACTTGCCTGTAAGATCCTAAAAATATGTTCGAAGTACATGCATGACTATCAGTTATCTTTTGAATCTTAAAAATTTCTATTTTTTCCAACCTTGAAGACCTAAATATCCAACTATAGTCATCATGTGAGCACTTGACAATTTATTCCTTGTTTGATCGAACTACCACATATTCAAACATGTTTTGTATGTAAAGAAAGACAAGCTCAATTTCAGAATTTCCTTATCACGAAACACTCTACCACCTTCTATACTCATAACATCAGGAACGGATACAATTCTGACCACACTTTCATCAATGTGCCCTGATGGTTCTACAACTTCCTCACATATGCCATTTGTTATATGCTGCAATGAATATACCCCTACACTAGATTGTTCGTTAAGTGCAATCGGCTTGGCCAATGTAAAACTGAGCGATTCTTGTCTTATTTCTGTAGATGTCACCTCAACATTTATGGGGTATTTGGAAGAGTCACAATCGATACCTTTGAGAGTCATGAACAACAAAACATTATTGTCACTACTTAGTCTGTCTGGTGGTAGATCAATGTTCAGTATGTAGTTCATTGTGACAGCCCCCTTCATAGGATCCAAATCGAACTCTATCAAAAACTGTCAGTTTTAGAAACGAATATCAGTCACAAAATGAGATGGAGGTATCAGATACAGTTACATTTGATATAATATTTGACACAGATAGCAATTACGATTTCATACACAATTAAGGTCACATATATAAATTTGGATAGCATACACATAACAATAACAGAGAAATCAATTCTAGGTACTTATTAAGGTCACAGATCTAAAAGTATGTTACATATCTAGGTCACATGAGCAACTGTCTTTCATGAAATGTTACCAAGTCCACATTCGTAATGCAACTTTCCTGATCGATGACTAAATTGTAATGCTTGAATGTGACCAGTCACATAATAACGCGTCCGAACATGCGCCAGTTGATTTCAAACCCAAACGAAGAATTCAGTCTCGTTCAAACGAACACAAAGGTAGAGTCATGTACCTGCCTATAATGCAGATTCTGAAACTCTCAGCGAACAAGGATGGTTTTTTTATTCAGGTTCACTAATTTCGATTGCTGTGACGGTCGATTTTGATAACATTAATTAGCAACTTAGACAGGCTATAATAACGAAGATTTCATTCATGTGGAATGCTCAAGCTTTTTATTGGACCTGGGGTTGACTTGTGATCGAAATTTCTGTTGAAATTGTAACAAATTGCTTATTTTTAGGTACCGTCGCAATCATACTATATGTGTGTGTGTGTGTGTGTGTGTGTGTGTGTGTGTGTGTGTGTGTAATGTATTGAATTAAAATCTGATTTGTGAATCTGTAAACCTTAATTTTTAAAACTGAAATGGTGTATGTTAAAAGCCTATCTTATGTATTGTTCCCTTGTGAAAATTAAACTAGACCAAACTCTTCAAAATCATAGTTCAAAATCAAATTTAAAAATTTTATGTTCAAAAATCAGGTAATACTTGAACTTTTTAATATTATAAAATTAAAATAATCTACACCAAATCCCCCCACTCTCCCCGCCCAACAAACACTAATATACTTCCAAAAATAGTTTCTTTCTATCTCCATTCCACCCTACCCCTATGGCTACTATTCACAACACTCGTGTGCATCGATAACCGGCGAAGCATAGGCTATGTGCGATGTACCAGTACGTCACCCATCGTAAGCAGCGATGCATGGGCCCATCGTCGTTTATTTGTTTATTTATTCTTTTTTGCATCTGTTTCTCTAGTTGGTGTGGTGGTGGTGGTGATGTGGTGGTTTGGTGATTTTTTGCACTGGTTGCTGACTTGTGACGACGCACTTTTTTTAGTTGCAACTTGTACGATCTATCTCTATCCAATGTCACTTTTCTTCTTTGGTGACTTCTCCTCAGCAGCCGTGCGGCACCTCTATGGGTAGGTGGTTTTCAGATATGTGGTTGGATAGTTTCTATGGGTGTGGTTTTCAAGTCTGTGGTTGAAATGGTGGGTTTTAGTAGGTGATGGTTGTGGTTGTGCAATGGTTGGTTGGAGTTGTAGGTGGAGGTTGTGGATGGTGTTGGAGCAGGCAATTGTGGAAGAGGGGTGGCAACGACAATGTGTGTGGTAGTCATGGCGGTGGTGGTCGAAAGAAATGGTGAAATTTAATAGGCGGTGTTGGTGTTTGCCAAAGTGAATCTGTGGAAGTTAATTAGGTTGTGTACAGTGGTGGTGTGTTGTGATCTATAGTGGTGTTTTTGTAGTTGATGTTGGTGGCAATTGTGGTGCGACGACTGCGGGTGGGAAGAAGAAAGTTTGTGACCAACTATTTAGTTGATTTGTGATCAAATATTGTTGGTAGATCGGGATCGGAGGTGGGAGTGGGGTGTTTAGTGTATGGAATAACTATTTGGTTAATTTGTGATCTGTGACCACCATTTTAATCGTAACCTAAAAATTATATGACTTGTCATCAACTAATTTGAAAATCTGTGATTGACGAATAAACTAACCTATGAATTTTTTTTTTTTGATTTGTAACTGTGAAATAATTTGTAACCAATTAATTTAATAATATGTGATTAATAAATAAGTTTTGACCTTTAAGTATGTGACTGTGACATTTATTGGATAATTGTGACATTAATATATTTATTTTTAAAATATATTTTATTATTTTAAAGTTCAATGGTCATTCATGAAATTGTTCCCGTTAAAAATTGGTTCAAATTAGCAAGAATTCCAAAAAAGAAAATAGAAACTAAAAATATTCTAATTTAATTTATAAGATGAGTATAAAGGTTAAATACACTAGCTTGCCATCGAATTTTACTCTAAATGTCACTTGTATCACTGAGCTTTAAAATATTTTATAGACTTAAATTTCATTTCAATTATACCACCACGTAAGTTTACCATCCATTTTATCAAAATTCTATAAGTGGTGTTAGCTTTACTTTAGTTTCCTAATGTAACCTGCCATGTGAGATTAGGTTACATATGCCAATTGTCATTGAACTATGCACTTAGTGTCACTTGTCAACATCTACCATGACCTACATAAACCACCCGTAGTCAAACACTACCCCCACAAAAGTTCAGTGCGGATCGTTCATAGTTACAGATTTTCGATCCCTTCCTTTGCTTCCACTCTGGTTGACCTCTCTTGTTTCCATCCACCCAAGACTTTAAGAATGGAGTAAAAGAACTTGGGATCGTTGATCTCATCCTTAAAGATTGAGATGAGCCAATGTTTGTCCCTTGTTGATGATCCTATACTCCGACAGCATCTAGGGTTCCTCGAACAATGTGATAGAGGGTTTCGCTTCCTTATCTTCCTTCTTTAAGCAAATGACGTATGCTCTTCACTCTACTGTGACATCAGTAGCTCCTCAAATAGACCAAAATTTTTTATTACCTATTGCAGGTTTTTAACTCTCTGTTATATTAGAACCTAGACAGCCGATGATAGGAGGAACACCCATCCCCCGCACTTGAACGGGACAAGTGGTGTAAGTAACCTAATGTTACATGGTGGGTTACTTCATCCAACTAATCTAACGTTGACATCATGTGGTATTTTTAGTTAAAAATGGATGAGTGATAAACGTAATGGTATAACTGAAATGATTTTTGAAATTTGAGGCAAATGAAATAATTTAAAGTCCAGTAGTATATGTGGTACTAAGTGTAAATGAAACTAGTATCCATGCTCGATTCTCTTGTGAGGCGGGGAAAAACATGGAAGGAGTTAGGTTGGTGGAAAGTGGTTAG